GCATCTCGTCCTGCGCAACATTTATACAAGATGTCACCCATAATATATTGCGCTGTGTCCTCGCCGCGACTTTTTCATTTCTACAGCTGGTCTTTTCTTCAGGAGAGAACGTGCGAGTTCGAGTCAAGAGAGGAAATCCATTCCATTTTTTAACTTGAACAAAGAAAGAAATAAATAAATAAACAAGAAGAAGTTTGTTTTACAAGCGAGCCGCGTGCAATTGGCAAAAAATTAAGTCGTTCTGCCTTTCAAAGAAGCAACAACCTTAATGAAAAATGGGTCCTGCCGGGGAGGAGAAAAATCTCCATTGATTCTTATTTATGGCGTTATCAATTTAACAGTCACATGATACATAAATAAATCAGTCAGGGGAATATAAATACAAGATTAATAAAAGTGCAGCCACAATTGTGAGAGAGAAGAAGAAGTGCATTGCAAACGAAAGAAATTATCCTTTGATATTTCTGGTTTTATTATACATTCAGTGTGCGGAGGAAGCAGCGGCACGACGGACCATAAATCAAAATTCAGCAGCAGGGATTACATTTCACGTTATTGCCTTTTATTGTGCACATTATAAAATGTGCCGATTTCTTTCTGGCGGAGCACGAAACTTTCTTCCGAAGCCACAAAAACCTGCAGATTTACAATTATGATAAATTGGAGAGCCATTGTTGGCGCTTTTTGCACATACGCCGCTTCAATTCCTGCTTATCTGCTTTTATATTTTTAATTAATAAGAGAGCAAAATTATATGCGTAACTTTTATTTTCGTCCATTGTATCGCGGCGGTATATATAAAAAAAAAATACGCGACGTTTCTCCTGCCAGCTTTATCTTTCTGCGCTTTATATATAAATGAATTAAACTTTCACGTTGAATATTTAATGCCAGAAAATTCGCGCACTCGGTTCATTAATCTTGTCACCAGCTGCACAAAAAGAACTTAAGTAAGGAGAGGCTTGTTTCGTATCCGACGAATTAATTACAGCAGCAGCAGGAAGTGCCTGTTCGGGTGCTTTTTTCGGCCAACCACTTTGTATCAGTGGCAGAAACATCTCGTCAGCGTCGCAGTTTATTTGTGGCTTTTACCGAACGCGCAACCTGAAGGAAAAGAGATCAGAGGCAGTTTATTGATTGATTACGTTAATGCTCCGCTTCAGCATTAACCGTTTGTGCACCGTTGTGAGCAGATTAATTATCAATGTGGTTACAATTTATCGCGGCAATTAATATTTTGTAACATGTTGCAACGTTCAAAAATATTTCGCTGATGAAATTCAGGAAATCAAAATAATCCAACTGCCGTAATTTGTGATTTTGCTAAAAATGTAGTTGTGTTAAAAAATGTTAAAAAATATTTATTTCATAATAAACTGACGTGCCCATCTTTATAATGAAATTAATTTGGTTGAAGCTAAACTAGAAAACTTATCAATTTATTTAACCTATGAAATAATTCATGGTAGTTTTGTTTGCTTCGAGAAAAATTTGATACAATAATTTAATCGTGAAGACTGCAGCAATCTTTGATAATTTTAATGGCCGCGTAATTTTAAATTAATATCTATATCTAACACAAAATAAAGTGCATAGTCATTAGTGTCATTACCAAATGATAATGAACGCAATTATTTTATAAAATTTTTTATGAAGACAACACAATTGTTTACATTAATTTACGTGCACAATTTATGTATCTCTGACCCAAAGGCTGCGCATCCCAAAATTATGTTGGTACACGGCTGCCGTCAGAGCCATGGGGCCTTATGGCTCGGGCGGAAGACATCTTTTTTTGGCCAACATAATAGAGCTGATGCGTGGCCTTTGCTCTGACCAAATTCAAAATGATTTTCATTTATAAATTTTATCTACTCATACAATATAATAGACAAACTTTTAGCTTTTAAACAAATTTCATATAATTCATGATTTACTGGCCTTCAAAGTGGCGAAATTAATGTGAAAATACGCCCGATTCCGAACAATTATTTGTAATTGGGTTCTAGCTAAGAAAACAGCCCGCAGTTGAGACAATTAATCACCCGCAAGAGACCACACTGCTTTGCATATATGAAGCCTGGAGTTATTTGAAATGTGCCAAATAATAATAATTCCGCTGAGAGATGCTCAATTGAGAAACGCTGCAGGCCAAAGTCGTGCGCGTACCCATATCTATTTGCGGCGGGCAGACGAAAAAAAAATTTGGACCATTATGTCAGGGTGTTGCCTTGGCAGAAATAAATTCTGCTAGAGAGAGAAAGAGATATACCCAGTAGGGGTACTCGGACGTGTGTAAAAAAGAGTCAGTGGATTCACGATTTTCCGTGCCGCGAGCAACACAATGCACGTTTTGAACTGCGACCCTCCAGCGTGGTTCGGGTTCAAGGTGATGAAAAAAAGTAACAACTCGCGCTTGCATAACACGCAAAAGTTATATAAAAACGCCCAAGTTAACACAAGAAAATAAAAGTTATGTGCTTCTCCAGCGAGTCGTAAAAGTTACACCGGCCGAATGTGTTCCCATGGTAAAAGTTTTGGCACATATTTTGCAGCGTAATTAACGCGACGGGGGGTATTTGCATTACTGGCGGCGGCGCGAAAAAGTGGCAGCCGCCGCTGTCGGAAAATGATTCAGGCGAAATTATTGTTTGGCCGGCAGAAAATAAAATTACCCCGTCATGAAACTGCGCGCGTGTATTAGAGCAAAAGAGCTGCATTTTATTTTCGCTGCATCTGCGGTAACTGGTTCTGGCCGATTTTTTCCACGTTTTTGCGCACCTGCCCTTTCTGCGTGGCGAACAGGATGTAACTCAAAAGCTTATAAGAAAGTCTGCGCACATGAATTCAAATGAAATTCTTCAAAACTTTCACATATTTTCCTTATCATATTTAGTATTTTCAGCTTATATAAATGGTTGAATTGATCCTGTGTGAAAATTTAGAAGAATAAATTAATGATGTATTAATTTTCATGGACAATATAACTTTTTTTTAATAAAGTTTATTAACTAAAATGAGGTAATAAAGTTTAGTTTTCAAATTGTAAAAATGCATGATTTTGACTCTTCAATTTTGTAATAGTTGAAGAAATTCACACTTTTTCTTTTTATACGACTTCTCTTAATTATATGTTGATTAACTTTTGGTTTGCAACAGGATGAGCGTGAGTTTTTGTTCTTAAAAAATGAACGCATAGTTGCGTAAATTGATGCAGTTGCGTGGGCGAGAGTGGAAATTATAAAATAAAGTTAAAAGACCGGCAGTGCAGGCCGAGGGAGTAGTGATGTGTGCGCGCTTTATCGCCCACTAAAACGCGCGAGGACATGATGATAAACTGCATCGTTCGCGACGCGCAGGGACTACTTGAATTATAAATAAACGCATGCATAGCAATGCAATGCAATGCAAAGCACCACCAATGGCTCCGATTGCTTAACAACGTTTTCAGATGTAATGTGCCCGCGCTCGTTCTCGCTGCGTGCGTTAATTTATGCTTTTGTATCGAATTACAAATGCACACTTAATGTGTGGTTCGAACACATTAAACCAACAATCGCGCGCATGAAATAATAATATTCAGCTGCACTGCTGGACACGAGCTGCACACCCCGCATTGTTGTATTATGTGTATGGAAACGTGCTATGTTGAAAGGAATCGAGTTTCGTTTCTGCTCTCCCAAGGTTTCAATTTCAGTTTTCAGTCGCAGTTAAAAAAATTTTTTTTTTTAATTTACAATTTTTTTAATTGTTAAATCTGATAGGTAGAAATTATTTTTAAATTAAAGATACAAAATGGAAAATACATGGCTCTCCTGGAGGTTAAATTTAATTTAGCTATTTGCCATTTTTTATGATAATAAATTGGACATTTTCTAGACCTTTAATACAAATAATTTTGTAACATAAATACATTTTTGTTTAAAATAATTCTCTTATTATAAAGCACGTGGTGTTTAAATTTACAATAAAATAAATAAATTTGTTTATTATAAAATTTATTAATATAATTTTTTTATTTCAAAATATAGTTTGTAAAAATAATATGATTTAGAATGATTATTAAAATTATTTTTGTTATTTTTAAAATTTTATTAAAAAATATTTCTCACTTAATTAAATTATATATCCTAACTTTTTTTATTTTAATTTTGTATGTTTTTATTTCATTTTTTTCTTTTTTCTCCCCAGACATACTAGTCAATTTGAAAGTCTTCTTATATTGGAGCACTTCACATTTTTATCACTAATTGTAAATCATTTTTAACGGGAGCAATTTCGGCGCAAGAGGCGGTTTCCTTGGAATTTGCATAAAGCAATTAAGATCCCGCTGTTTAAAATGAGGCGTCAATATGGGTCGCCCACTCGAGAAATCGCCACTCACGCCTCTTCTCTTTATCCAGCAGCAGCCGAAATCCTGTCGAGATTATTCGTCGTTTTTGCCACCAGACAATGACCTTGCAGGCGACGATGCGAAAAACGCGAATTTCGGGCGTGATGGATCCGCGAGTGTTTTTTTTTTTATTTCGTTTGCGGTCGAAATAATAACAATAATAAGTGCCCTTTTCGCACGCGCAGCAGTGAAAGTTATAGTATCTTCTAGGGCACAGCCTTAACACTCGCGGCGGTCTGCGGCGTGCAAAATTTAATTCGACCGAGCCCGCGAATTTTTATTTTTTATTATTGCATTGCACCTCCGTGAATTATTTCGGCTTCCTTATGGTGCCGATAATAACACACTCGTCTCAATTCGCAGCTTTGTTTTTGCGCTGACCGTGCCTAATGATGGGAAAAAGTTTCACCTGCGAGCTGCTCTTAATTTTGTTTATCTTAAGCCCTAATGGCTACCCACGTGCTTTTGGAATGCTTTTTGTCCAGATTTTCTCTCCAATTTGTCAACGCATAAAAGCTTAAGACTCCTTTTAGGTATGGAAATAATAAATAATCCTTTTTATCGAAAGCGGAAAAATCGTTTTCAGATTACAAGAAAATCTACTCACCGCTTTTCGATGAGGTCAGCCTCCGGAGGAATCTGTAAAAATCAAATATTATAAACTTGGCAGACGCTAATTTATTTCATTGTTTGATCGTGCTGACTAATTGAATTGGATTTCTGAGAAAACTTTTGTGTGTCTGTCCGGTTGTGCACGTCGGCATTTGTACACAATCGGCCATAGCATCCGCTTTGTTACAAATTTTAGATCAAGGATAGACGAGCCACGATTTTATACTCCATAGATATATTGTTAAGTGAATTCGCCACCTGCTGCTTGTGCCTCTTGTGCTTATTCTGGCAAACAATAACACCGGCCGATTCTTTCTCTGCAAAAAGTTTGCACGCCTCGAAATAAATTTTCGTTAAATGAATACACCCCCTTTATGACAAAATAACGCATACATGCCAGTGCTTATTTTGAGAATCAACGATAACAATTTTTTGTTGTAAACGTCTGATTTATGTGCTTCAATGTTAAGATTTATTATTTTCATTCAAATTTTAATAATCAAATCTATATTCAAGAAAAACCTGTTCTTTACTTATACAAGTTTTAAAAATTTGTTGAATTTCATTTTAATTTTTACAGTCACGTTTAAAATCCTACAAATTGCTACCAATTTTCTGGTTTAACCTGAAAATTAAAAAGCCAGTTATGTTTCTAAATATATCTTGTTATTGTAATTAAATTTTTTGGTGATGTTCGCTTGGAATAATTTTTGCAGATTCTTCACGCCCATATCTGTCGATTAAAGTCAACACACGTGCCACTCGTTAAGTTTATTTTGGTAACGCCAATTTTCGCGTCTCACTGAAGGTCAGGTAACGCCATCAGCAATTATTTTGATTGTCCTAACCTTTTACGGAGTACGTTGGTGCAAAGAAGCTCTGATGGTCATGAGTACGTTCGTCTTCTCGCTTGTGTGAATGCGCACGTCTCAGAAATTACATCCTTACCACATCAAAACGACGTCTACAATCTTTATTGCATTGCGCCTCACTCTGCAGGCAGTCGCACAGCTGCTTCGCTTTTTTGCTTGGCCTTCAATGGGTTCAACCGGAAAATCAACAGAGATAATCTCAAGCAAGTGCAGCGACTGCAGCGGCGAAAAAAATGCACAGATTGCAAATTTAATGTGCTTTTTTTTGTTTATCGATCCACCCTCTTGCGATTGTTGCAGTACTTTTTTATTAGGCTGCGTAGGCTGTGCTAAAATGATTTTATGGTACGGTCCTATATAGCATACTCATTTGGCTGGTGCAATTAAATTTTTTAGATTTTTATTGCTCAACAAAATACAAACATGGGTTGTCCTTGGAAAAGCAAGAAAATAATGCATATTATTGTTCTCTTTTTACAAGCATTATCACGAATCGTAAAGTTTTTTCTTTCTATCATTTCGTGATCACAGAATTTTATTATTATGTGTAATTTGCAATCAGGAAGCATTTGTTTTGTTATCATTCTTAGCGATTCTTAGTATGTTATATGTTTTTACTTCTTCCATGAAACCATATCAATGCTACTTAAGTGAATAATAACTGAAAAATTTGGTTGCAAATAAATGAGATAGCTTAATTTTGGCCAGGAGCTTGAATTTTAGCTGCAAATTGCATAATGTGTGTGTTTAAAATGAATGCCTTATTAAAAATTAATACTTTGCTTTTCCTTAATTAAATATTGATTGAAAATAAAATTGTGTTTTCTTCATCTGACATGCAAAAAAGCTTCGATTTTATTCACAGGACTTACCGGCTAAATTTTAAAGAGATAAAGAGAATTTAATTACTAAAGATTTAAAAGAGAAGTAAAAATTCTGACATAAATAAACAAAAAAATTTGATATTTTAATTGCACCTATGGTTTGAAGAATGTAATTTTTAGCATTTGCAATCAGGAAGTGATTGATTTGTTGCTCAATTTATATAGATGCTTTTATTTTCCTCACTTCCATAATTTTACAACGTTTGGCTTCTCTTTTTGTAAATATAGAGGAAATTGCGCAGTGCGGCAGCTTTACAACTGCAATGAGTGAAAACGGCAAAACTCGATTATTTATATGCACACACGTTCGGTATAAACCTGTTGACGTCCCTTTGAATTAACTGCAGCCTGGCGGTTTATCAAAATCGAGAAATTAACTTCATTTAATAAAGTCCCGCATGCAGACCGCGGGGAGTGGTGCGCGATGTTAATTTTTCCCACTTAATTTTGTCTAATCGCATTGTGTCGAGAATTATTCCAATAAATATGCGGCTCTGTAATGGAGAGAGAAACGCGGCGAGTTGGACGCGGGCCAAGAGAGCAGCAGCCTCACCTCTCAACACTGCGCGCTTATTTTCCATCACAATGCGGTGAAAATGTTATCAGCTTCAAACTCCCTCTGTCCCTGCTGTAAACAAGCCACATTGGACAACGTTTGCGTTTGCCCTGCCATCGATAGATCACTGGCAATTTATTTTATTCCCAGTGACATTAGGCATACGACTCGAATTCCAAAGACTTTATGGCGATGGAGCTCGCATTCGTCCGCAAAAGTTGATCTATAAGGTTAATACCGTCTTAATTTATGTCTGTTCTAATTTGATGACGGGATTTTTTCAAGTTTGATTTTGTCTTTTGTAAGAAGGCGTGAAATGTTTTGTAATTTGAGATTATGAAGAAGATTGAGAATATCTTGTTTTTAATAATATTTAGAATACCTGTTATTTTATATTTAAGCACAAAAAATAATGTTTATTAAAAAAAAAACATTATTGAATAATACTAAAATTTTATATCACTTTATTAAAATATTTTTAACTTTCAATTGTTTATGTATTTTATTGTAAAAATTAGAGCTTATAACAAATAGTTTATAATGAAATGCATCTTTTGCTTGTATTTTAAATAATTTTTTTTTTTTATTAACTTATAAATTTAATACGTTTACAACCTTTTTACAAACATAATAACCAAATATATTTAAAATTATTGATCTTCCTGGCGAGTGTTGCTGTTGAGTGATTATTTGAATCTAATCTGATATTAGAAAATATAATTTTTAGCATTCACAAAAAGTAAAACCATGCATGTGAATATTAGAAGAAAAACAGACTTTGCTGTTGTAATGAGCTGCTTTGGAGAGATTTTAACGGCCGATAGTTGTAATTGCAGGCCAACGAAGACAAAGCCACTTATCATAAACACCCGTGCAACACTTCTTCTTAACGAAGCGTACATATACGAGAGGGAATTACATTGGACACACGGCCAGGGAGCGAGCCAGCGAAAAAGCCACGGTGTGTATTTTGCTCTCTCTTGGAGAAGAAAGAAAGAAAATCGACGCCGCGAGAAGAGGCGGTTTATTAATCAGATATCAAATTGCATGCATGTTCGAGGAGAGCTTTTCCTGGCTGGCGTTATTATTGTGTGTATTATTATTGGCGTGCAGTACACGGCCGAGAGATTGCGGTAGGTTATGTCATGTATTTAGTAGACATTAGCTGCAGCATCGTGTTGTGGTAGGTCAGAGCCAGAACGTTGTTTTCCTCTTTCAGGCAATTTTATAACATATGAAATAAACGCCGAAAGAAGAATGCAGCTGATGGGAAAATGAGATGGTGGTGAAATATGAGGTTATGGAATTCATTCCATCGACCTCCGCGTGGAAACATGGAAAATTGAGCAACAGAGGATTAAATCGATCTCTGCTCTTGTTTTACCAGAAAAAAACGAGACAATAATACGCTACGGTGTTCTACATGAATTCACTCGAAAACATTCATATGCTATTTAACACGCGCTATTTAGAAATCCACAGATCGAGAATCTATGCCAGGATTTATTACACTCGTAAAACAGGCTCAAAGTTGACGTATAATTTCAATTTCATTAAATTTTACATCTGTAATGAAAGTTTTTTGAGGTTTTGTGCAGATTTAACACAAAATCAACAGTTCTCTATTGAGAAATGTGATTTTATGGATCTAAATTGCTCACGAGTAAATTATTTAATCAATTATTCGAATTAAAAAGGACGAAAAACAATTCAAAAAGAAAAAAAATTAATGTGGACTCACCGAATCAGAGACTGAGCGAGAAAACCAATGCTCAGAAAATGAATTAAAATGTCAAAATTTCAACTTTCAAGTGGAAATCCCTATTCTTTAAAAACAGATAAAGATTGTGTTTCTATATAAATATTTATTTTTCCATTTCAAACTTAAAAATCAAGACACTCAACTCGGATCATGATTTCGCTCATCAGCTAGCCTTTACAAACGGTTTTTTTTATTTGTCTTTAGAGAAGTGATCCATAGCTTAAATTGTTATATCATGGAGTACCCATTTGATCTAAAAATTGGCTGCAATTTTATAATATTAGCTTATTAAATTAATAAGAGGGTTTAAAATGATTTGTGAATTTCCAATTTTTAAATATGATCACATGGAATCTTTTGTTTCATAATTCACAAACGACAATATTTGTATTGTTCGTTGTTAAAGATTTTGTCTCCATTTCGCCCTACTCGTTGAAAGTCACAAAATTTTCAAGAGAATTATAATAATTGTTTTGAGCAGTAAAATATCAGACATATAATAAATTTCAATCCAAATTAAATGGTCCTTCCTCGGTGACCTTTGTATGCAAATCAGCACCTTTTCTAGAATAAGTAGAACGCACACCAACTTCCTTGTTCAGATACACCACCAAATAAAGTTCGCTTTACAAGTGTGTGCAATTTCAATTTGATTGTCGGTGCCATTGGTGGACGGGTGCTGGGAGTGGATCGGCCTCTTCCAATAGGCGAGTTAGGCCCATTAATAAAGGGTTAGACCGTAGAAGGAGGCGCGTGTGTCATATAAATAAATGCAAACGCAGTTTGATTTTTTTGTGTGGAGAGAAAGTGGCGGCCGCGTGGATGGAGAGGCTGGGTCCTGATCCTATCGCTCGAATATTTTATGCGCGGCTCTCTCGCTCCACACACATAAAACACATTTATTCCCTCTTCTGAGGCAACAACGCGGGCAAAATTTCTATACTCGCGCGCTT